CTTTACTAGGCACTTGTTAGGTCACAATAGATACAGAGGATCCAGCTTCACAATCTCCAAATCAAGACAGACAACAAAAAATTTAAGAAGCTTTGGACAGGGCAGAGGGAATGCATGTTTGTATGTGCATGTGTTCAGCCAAATGGACAGAAGGCTGAAGAATTTGTCATAAGAAAACAGCAAAGGAATGGAGCTCATCAACCCCAGAGAAGGCTCAAAGGATATCTAATCTCAGCCCTCCTCAAAGGCTACACTGATAGAAATGCCTCTTATTTTATTATGCTGGGCCATGACATCAGAGGCAGAAGATGGTGGTACAGCAGTAGAGGTTGAACTTTACCACGTATCACCATTACATTTTGTCGCTGATGTAGATGGCAGCACAGGGGCAGTCTGACACAATGGCATCTGACATATAAGTGAATATGAAGCAAAGTTACCTAACTGCATTTCCTCCATGTACAAAAAAAAGGCACCAGCTGACATTCATTCAGCTGACTTGATGAAAATATATGAAGACCAACAATGGACATAAGCACAGTGAGGTGGTGGGTGGTGCATTTCAGAAGTGATGACAGTAGGTTATCTCCACTGATGTGAATGTTTACAAGTGTGGCATGCAGGCTCCTTTTCATTGCATAGATAACAGTGATGACTGTAATGAACGAGCACTTTGTAGTTGAGAATTTGCTCGGAGAAGGGCAGTCTGACAGAATGGCATGTGACATGCAAATGCAGATGAAGGAAAGACACGTCACTGAATTCTTCCAGGTGGAAAAAAGGCACTGACATTCACAGATGCCTGCTTAACATTTACAGAGACCAAACAATGGATATGAGCATAGTGAGGCAGTAGGTGGTATGTTTTAGCAGCAGTGACAGCAGGTCACCGCCACTGCTGCAAATTTTTGTAAGTGTGGTATGCAGGCTCTTGTTCATCGCTGATTTTCATAGCTGATAGTAGTGACCATGTTGAAAAATAGTATTTTATAGCAGAGAATGTCCTCTATTAAACAGTGTTATCGTGCTCTTTGTATCTGTTATGCTTTCCATGGAAATAAATAGGAGGCATTACTTTTGGAGTGACCAGAAGGTAGTTCTAGAGGAAGCAGTTATTCTCTTGATAGAGTAAGAGCCTGCAGAAATAAGATGCTTCAGGAGGAAGCTCCACGTGGACAAAAGGGGAAAAACAAAACAAGAAGAAAAAACCCACCAACTTACACAGTGAGAAGTGAGTGTTGAAAAAGATTGTCTGCAAGTGGTAAAAATTCATACAAGAAAAACATTCTAGGCTTGGCGGGATGGTGCATTTAAGACCCTGCTGCCAACAGAAGATTCAATCAAATGATATCTAGAGTCCCTTTCCAAGAAAAGAGTCAAGAAAACTTGACTCTTTCACAATTCCGTGACTTAGCAAAACACGTTTACTAGATAGACAGCAGTTGAAAACCACAGAAACCTCAGGACTAATTCCAGTTAATCCAGTCAGAACTCACAACGCACATTATTAAGGGTCTCCTTATTTAAAAAGCTCATTTTGCCCCAGATGCAGCCACAAAAGATGTCAAGGCCTTTGCCACATAAGCACCAGAGGTAGAAACTCAAGATATGTTTATAGAGTACTTTAATAAAAGTAATATAAAAGGATTCTGGTAGGGGTTTCTATTAACAATTTGTATTACCCCGCCTTTACAACAGTGTGGTTAACGTGGAAGGCACACACATAAACCATAAAGCATTCTAGCAGATTAAAATTCTTTTTCAGGAAAAAAAGCCCCATGACATTTGCTCTGAACTTTTACATTGTCCTAATCAGTACCAGCAGTACAACGACCAACAGCACCTGGCAAACCTGTTTTTAAAACACAAACCTATTGCAAGTTCTACTCTTTGACCTCTCACAAATACATGAATTTATTTTATGCTTTAGAAGTGAAGCTTCATATCGTATGTATTTTAAACTCTATCCACGTTAAGAGATCATTTTAACTTCTGTGTCTCTGTAAAGACTGAAAAACCTCACCTATCTTCCAAATTAATACTACCCCACATTCCCAACTTCTGAAAGACAGATATGCCAATAGGATGGTTCAAGACAGGTTGCCAGAAATCAACAGGCCTTCTTACTCACTTTCAGTGATCTACATGGCCTCCTATACCAGTTTTAAGTCCCCAGGGAAGTAAAATAAAAAAAACACAATTACAAGTGAAGCTCACTGAGAACACCTGAAGAAGTCCATCTTCTGCAATACACTTTGCAACTTTATTACTGTGCCTACAAAGCCTCAAAATTCACCAGAGGGTAAACAATGTCATTTTCCTCTATGGTGAAGCAATCCCAGATATTTAGAATTGGTCTACGTGATTAACCATCCACTAGAAGCCTGAACTTGTTCACATCTTTAAAAGCAGTATGCAAAAGTAAATTCGACAGTTGTCTGCATATAAACTGTGGGAGTCCAACTTTCTGGCACCAATAGTAATGCCTATCTATTTCCATGGAAACTACAACAGATGCAAAGAGTACAGTAACACAGTTTAATGGAGCACATTCTCAGCTACAAAATACTATTTTAAACATAGTGACCACTATTAGCTATGAAAATGAGTGATGAACAAGAGCCTGTGTGCCACACTTGGAAAAATCTGCACCAGTGGAAGCAACCACTGCTGAAACATACCTCCCACTCCTCACTGTGCTCACATTCACTGCGTGCCTCCATCAATAAATGTCAGTGAGTGCCACAGTTTCCCCAAGGAATAATTAAGTGACACAGCTTTGCTTCATTTGCACTTCCATGTCATCTGCCATTCTCTCAGACCGGCCCTCTGCTGCCATCTGTCACATGGCAACAACAAGTAATGGAACACTGGTGAGAAGGTCCAACCTCTACTGCCACGTTTCCTGTACTTCATACTTGTCAACAGTTTCTCAGACATATGTAGTATCAAAACACCATGACACAAATAAGGAGGGACTGTGAAGTGAGGGATATTTCTTTCTGGTAAGAGAGTTTGTTTGTTTGTTTGTTCTTTTTTTAAATAGAAGTCTGGTGAAGAGGCATGATCAATTTTTGAGTTCAAAGTCTGATTACAACTCTAAATATTCGATTTCATAACCTGGTAATTCATGTCAACTGAAAATAGAATTGTAAATATACCAAAAATTGATTTTCTCTAGCAATCCTGACACTTGTTCTCAAAATCATTTATGAAAACAGGTAACACAGCTCCACATTCTTCGCTGTTCATGGGACTGTGTTTTGGCAATGTATTAAAATGCACAAATTTATTTGCCATAACAATGCTCAGAGATCAAGCCACGTGAAATTTACAAAATTTATTTACTCCTCTTATTTCAAGAGGTCATAGCAGCACAAACACTAAATAAAGCAAGAGTAGCCCTGAGAATCCACTACATACCACTTCTCTGTAACCTTCTATTACTTCCCTGAATTCTTCACATAAGACTTACACAAATGAAATACATTAAGCCACAGGACACACTTGTTCATCAAGCACTCCTACCACAGAACAACACAAGCTGCAAGAAACAAAATATATTTTCTAGACACTGTTACAATTTCATGACAGGCAATTTTTTTATTCTTTTATTTTTTATTTTTAAGCGGCAAGTGTTTAGAAGGTTTCTTCACTGCAGTTTTGGCATCTAACATTAATTTAAGGCTCTACAGCAAACAAGTTTCAGCCCCCTTTTCCCTGCGCATTACAAACATGCAGTGTTCACGGCAATGTGGAAATATTAGCCCATGTGTAAAACACAGCAACAGCAATCGCTGGAAGGCAAATCAGTCAGAACTGTGCTCTACCAATAGTGACCAGATCTCTAAATTAACACAGTCACACAGAGACTTTTAACTAATTAGTACTACCAAAAAAAGTCTGAGAAGACAAACAATCTCAGAAAAAGTCCGAGAAGCTAAAATAATTGCATGCATTTCTGATTTCTGACAAATCTGATCTTGATTTCTAAACCCTGAAATCCCAAGGCCTGGATTTCTGAAGTCAAGACAAGGCAGTCTCAGGATAAGCAGAGACCTGAGAATTAGGAGGAAGTGAAAGACATCTAACAGCTGCTTTGAAAAAAGCAACTGTATATTCCCATATCCAGCTGTTCTGTAATATCTGAATCAATGAAGAAATAGATTTTACTTCCATTATTATCAAGAGCGTAAAGAAACCTACAATTCATAAAGCCTTAGCTTTGAAGTGATCCTATTCAGCTTTTAGGAAATCATATTTGAAAAGCTCCACATGAAAAACAACACAGCTGGATGAGCTAAAAAATATTAAAATTTGAGCACTCTAGGATTAGAATAAATGTGTATCTCACATACCACATCACCAACGTCTGAGAGTGGAGGTCTCATTCAGAAGTACCTGCTGAGTTTCAGCCTTGCTGTCACACATTCTTCCACTTACTCTAGTTGCATGTGACAAATGTGTTTTTAAATACTGGTGTGGTTTTGCTATCAGAAATAATTTTGCAATTAGTGGAACTTAAAACAAATCCCAAAATAATTACCCATTATTCCCCGTTTCTAGTCCTTTACACTCAGCACAGCCAGTTATTACTTTTCTGCACCAACAAACCCATATAAACCAGCAGAGAATAACATGTCTCCAGAATCTTAACAGGATTTCTCAACTTCCACTCTGTGTTACTTGCAAGTAAAACATTAAGTTAGGAAGAATGCCCCATTTTTTGAATAGGAAGCCAGCAGTAGTCATTATTATCAAATATACTTTATAGTCTGAAAACCTGCTGGAGACTAAATTAAGAAGAAATATCTAAGATATATCATACTCAAGAATCAAAGAAAAATGTCTGTTTTTTTAGAAGACAGGAAGGTGATCTTCTTTTAAGTGTGCTAATAGGAAAAAAAGGCGTTTAAGTAAAGTAGAAACATGAAAAATCCACATTATGTTCACTAACACAATAGGGCAACACATGATTTGACTCTCAAGTTACCACTTACCAAAATCTACTCTTGTTAGTATGCACTGCATGGGGTGGTCAGTTGTATGCCTCGTTGTTGTTGCACCACTTTCATAACAAGTTGCACACAGATCGTAATCGTAGCAAATTAAGCACTTGAATCGTCGACCTCGAAAATTTCCTTTTAAACATGCATCGCAGCTGACACCTGTAAACAAATAAAATTGCTTAAAAGAATAGCAAACATTTTTTCATGAAGCAGATGCGTTTCAATTCTCACTCAACAACAAAAATAAAGCATCTCTGAAAAATGTAGCTTACATCTACACAGGTCAATTTTAAAATATATCTGCATCCTTAATTATTCACTGCTCTTGAAAACAAAGATCTTGAATTCTGGAAGGACAAACGATAAGACACAGCTTAAGGCAGATTTATTTGATAGTAGGACTGGTATTTCGATCATTCACTTAGGAGTCTCACTGTTGAAGAACAGCACACAGGTTGACCAAGAGGGAAAAAAAACAAAACAAGACACCACTGACAAAAATCCACTAGCCCATCTGCCTTTACTTTCACATATCCTAATACTTTCCTTTTCAAAAGCACCATAATCATTCCCAACATTTTGTGTAGGTTGCAAAGTAAGGCCTTTTCCTACTTAAAGTAACAGAAAATATGAGTTTTTTGGTGGGTTTTTTTTTTTTTTTTTTGAAGTTAAGCTACACCTCATGCCTACATCATACTTCCCTCTACAGCTCACTCTTTGCAGTCTGAGGCAGTCATACTATCAGCGTCAGTGTAAGACTTATGGCTTCCAAGGTTTTTTTCTTTTTTCCCTGTGGTTTTCAATCTGTTAAATCTGTAAATTAAAGGCCTCCACAAAAAAAAAAAAAAAAAAAAAAAAAACAATGCATACACTACAGGCAAAGTTTTCAGGCACATCTTTTCTACCATCAGCTAAGATCTGCTACTTGCAGCTCTGAAGAGACCACAGTGATGTTTCTCTAATCTCCCACTTTTTTTTAATCTAGTTGATAGATGACAAGTGTTAATTACAAAACCAGCCTGCATCAGCTCATTAACTGTTCTTTTTTTGTTGTGTTACTCCGTAGCATGTGAACAAAAGCTTTAACACATTCAGTAAGTGAATGCAACAATCATGCTTTTTTTTAATCTATCTGATCAAAACAATTTCAATTGCATTTTTTGATGAATAATAGACAACATTATTTTATTCTTTTTTCCTTCAGTTTCTCCACTTACAGTACTACCTTAAGGGACTACCTCATTTCCAGCACTCAAGCACTGTGCATCAGTATGAGTACTTGAAGCTATGTCTTCAGTTGCCTTACTGAATATCCAGACTGAGTGTAACTCAACACGGAACAGTTTTTTTCAGAAGCTGCTGCTTCAACAATCTCTTTGTTAACAGCCAGAAACTGTATTTTCAGAATGCCATTTTAACACCTTCAAGCTTTATAATCTCTCCCCTTCACACCCTTTTCTCCAGATTTCCTTCCATTAACTCTAAAGAATGCAATCTATTATTTGCACTCTGAGAGCAACCTAATTTCTGAGGGCATCTCCACATTAACTGTAAAATTTCTACTATTCTCATTTTCATGTTGAGATCTACAAAATTTTACATACGCAGCATTCAAATTTTACCAATACACAAAACACTTAGCAGCTATTGGCAAGCTCTGGGAGTCTCTGTTGCCTACTAGCTACTAAGTACCTACAGTACTCCATCAGCAAGTTAGCACCATACAGAAATAAGCAGGTTAATTTAACACAGTCTGTGTCAAAGGCTAACAACTTTCCAAATGAGGTATTAAGCCATGATTTTCCAGTAAGTCATTTTTTGCCTCAAACTCAAAATAACTGATTTATTGCAGATGTCAGCTTCTTTCCAACTGCCAAACTCCTCCTGTCACATGTTCTCTCAAACATCCAGATAGTTCCTATTTTAGGAAAAACGTGATTTTCGGGTTTTGTTTTGTTTTTAATTTTTCCTTTACACTTTTTCTTCATAACAATACTTCATGTCATTCTGAAGTACAAGTCTCCCCTTTCCCTCCCCAAAATACTCTGTAATCATTAATTTTTCTATAGAAGAGTTCTACCGTAAATGCGAATCACAATATACTGTTTGTACTTAAAACAAGTACAACAAGGTTTTCAAACAACAGACTCAATTTTGCCTCCTACCATCAATATTGTATTGAAAAGTACAGGACTTCAGCTGAACAGAAAAAAAAAACCCACTAGTGTAAATGTAGGCATTGCTGATGAAGTTAGATTGAAAGAACAATAAAGGTAAACAAAAAGCAGCATTCTAGGTCTCTCATAGCCAGCAGTTTGACACCCAACTCTAATCTACCACATTCTCTCCTTCCAAAAGAGGAAGGTCTGACAGCACTGGATTTTACACCTTTTTGTGAATCAAAGAAAAACATTCCTAAAGGAAATAAGTGAAAAAAAAAAATCCCACAATTAAATTAAAGGCCTTAGATCGGGAACAAAACCTGTGTTTAAATTGCTAGATCTCTCACCAGATTTTTTTTTTTTTTTTTAAAGACATTTCATCAGTTACTCTTTTTCTTCACTTTCCAAAACAATTCCACCAAAACTCAGGTCTCTTGCAGTTTTTCCTGTTGTTCTTCTTTGTAAGCTTCAACTGCCAAAAATTCACCCATCCATCTCAATTGCAATCCCGAAACTGAAATACTCAGCCTAATAATCTCCTCTGACCCTATTCTTTCTTCTGTCGTAAACACTTTCATTTCCTTATGAAAGCTTTGATTGTTTATCATTTTTCTTTACTTTAATCTTTACAACTGGAATTACCAAAGTTCCTTTCCTTTCTCTGTAAAACCCCTGAACATTCAAAAATACTCCCGTTAACATATCATATAGTTCACCATATACCTATGCTTCAGCATTTCCTTGAATTAATCTTACACTGCAAATTCAGCAGGCATATTACAGGCTCGAGACTGTCAGATTAGAATGGATGCACGCATATTAATCACAAGTTTAAAGAAAAAAATGCTACGGAAGGCTTCACTGTGTGTTTGCTTTTGTTTCTGACTTCATACTTAAAAGTCAAAACAACATGTGAGAAAGGCTTAGACAGTCAGTATGCAATTCTGACCGACAAAGACTTAGAAAAATCCTTGATAATCATCTTGGCTTCCTCAAGTCTTCTGCATTGCTGCTGGAACACAAGTACACATACTCCATAACATGTATCACATACTATTAATGAAAAATTTCCTGCCCACTAATGAAGATTTGAAGGAAACCATGTTCCACAAGGGGGTAGCATTGCACTAAAACCTAACGAGGCTTGCTTCATTTTGGCTTTAATTCTGATGGCTTCTTCAGCAGCACTCCATTGCAATGTCAACAGCTGCAACTACACATTTTGAGTGAAAAGAACCTGGAAATGTGTGAAAATTTCACTAATACTGTTTTTCTCCTTTAATACAAATTCTTAATTTTATGCCAAATTGATTCACATCTTTACCTAATCAGAGCCAATTACCCCAGGGACAATACTGTCACAAAACCATTTTATCCATTACATGCTGAACAGTAACACATCCTAAAACAAACACTGTTCCCACTTTCATCCTAATGGCCAAAAAAAATCATTTGCTCTTATGACAAAATACTGATATTGCTAGGAATTAATGAAAACCAAAGCAACGCATCCCTACACTTAACAGGGTGTGTTATTCTGTTATTGTAACAGAATAATGCTGAAGGGATCTGGGGATGCCACACACGTTATAAAACACAGCTAGTTTTACAATCACAAGCAAAGCTGAAGTGTAACATCAAATATGAATTCCTGAACACTGAAAACCAATGTTGCTTACTGCCTTGGACAGACACTCATTTGTAACACAGCAAAGGGCTACACTCCCTCTCTTGTTTGGCCTCCCCAGATACTGTGGGCATTTAATATTATTCTGATTGCCCAATAAACTGTTCCAGATAAAAATAATCTGAGAAACTGCCTACACAGAACATGCAACACTGTTTAGACCAACCAAGAGACCCCAGAAATATCAATGACTTCCCAGACTCAATGTGACAATCTTAAAAACCTTTGTAATACTGATAAGTGAAGCAACAGTGGCATTACCTGTTTCAGTACTTCACACAAAGCACAGAAGCTGAGCTCCACTCACCACCCAACAGAGCACAAACAGAACTTTGAGATTTTCCTCAAAAAATGAAAAATACTGCATTTGCCAAGAGCATTCAAAAGGTAGCTTCGCACACTTAGAACCTAGTTTAGATCCCAGAACCTTGAGACATCTCATCTGAAAGCAAATATGACAAAAAAACTCAGAAAACTGGTCTTCAGCATGCCTTCCTTTTGGAACACTAAACTTGCTCCCTGCTCAGGATGGATAAGATTTTAATGAGGAAGAGATAATTGTTACTTACTACAAAGTATATAAATTATCCCTTCAAAGGGGAGCTAAAACGTGGTCTTATTTCAACAGACACTACTAACAAAGCAGCAGTACGAAGGGAATCCCCCCAGAATACAATAGATTGCATTTGAAATCTCTTCTAAGGTGGAAAAGTTCAGGAGTATGTTGGCAGATGCACCACTTCTGCATGTCACCAACAACCCGTCTTTGAGGATAAGAATGTGAGCTCATCACTAAGACTTCTCAACACCTCACCAAGGCAAAAGCTATGCATCATTAAGCGAAGCCTGAAGGAGAACTTAGAAATGGTTTATTCATTAGGTTTGATTTATTTTTATTTTTGCTTATGAAGAACATACAGCCAAAGGTTCGCCACACAGACATACTGGAACATGTTCCTGTCTAAAGCAACATAAGATAGCAGTACTTTGGATGAGTCATTTAATTTTTGGAAATCTCTGAAAATATCATCCACCAATCATTATGAAACATTCAAAAAAAGAAGATCTCTGAATTCTTTAAGCATCCAACATAAATAGAAAATTTGCCTGTCAGTGATTTCACCTCCAAAATGGAAATGCAGCTACTTGAACACTACTTCTTACTTTACATGGAGCACTGAGGAGGATCACCCTTCTTGAAGGCTGACACAACTACACTAGTACTCCAAAATTTCAAGGACACCAGACAAAGCTCAAGGCCTCTTATTTTCACAACTACCTTTCAAAAATTCTAACTTCAGCACACAATT